TGCTACTCTGTGTCAACATTACATCCAGAAACTGAGCATTGTCTTTCCAGTCAAAGATCTAGGTCATTTGCACTATTTTTTGGGTCTTGAGGTGCACAGGTCTTCTGAAGGTATATTTCTACATCAAGGCAAGTATTTACTTGATCTTCTTCAGAAAACCAAGATGGATGGAGCTAAACCATGTTCAACTCCTTTACGCACAGCAAAGCTTGATCATACTGGTGCCTTTTTGTCTAATCCTATAGAGTACAGATCTTTTGTTGATGCCCTGCAATACCTCATATGAATAAGGCAGGACATATCATTTGCGGTCAATCAAGTATGTCAATTTATGCATGCTCCACGGATTCTCATCTTCAAGCTGCCAAAAGGATTCTTCGATTCTTAAAAGGTACTTTCACACATGGTCTTCGGTTTAAACCAGGCACTTTGAATCTTACTGCATATTCCGATGCCAATTAGGCAGGGTGTACCTTTAACAGAAGGTCCACCGGTGGCTATTTTATATTTCTTGGCTCTAACTTGATTAGTTAGAGTGCTAAGAAATAGTCCATGAGTGCACGATCCTCTACTGAGGCCAAGTATTAGTCTTTAGCTCATACATCAGCATAAATAACATGGATATGTAAAGTGTTCAGAGACATTGGTTTTCCATTACCTCATATTTCTCATCTTTGGTGTGATAATATCTCTGCCATCTCTTTAGCTTCTAACATTGTTTTTCATGCCTGGACTAAACATGTTGAAATTGATTATCATTACATCGGTGAGCTTGTTCTTGCTCACCTTATCAAGATTCAATATGTTTGTAGTTAAGATCAGTCAGCAAACATCTATACCAAGTCTTTGTCTAAGAACAAATTATTATATCTACAATCCAAGCTTTCTCTTGGTCCCTTTGATGCTTCCAAGTTCAGCTTGAGGGGGTGTAAAGAAGCTAAAGTTTAGTTATCAAAATTGTTGTTAAGAGTTAGTTATAGTTTGTTAGAGAGTTTTGTATATTATTAGTTTGGTTAAGGGCATTACTGTAATAAGTAAGAAAGCCCACAAGTATATATAATAAACATTGTTGTACTTATTCATTGTATTGAATGAAAGAGGAATATTCAGTTTCTATATTTACAGCAGGTCTTTGAAGTTACCTCATTCATTAATGGGCATGCACGCATTAAGAAAATTACGTCTTGGTGGCTGCAATTTAAAGGAAATTCCTAACAATATCAGGAGTCTATATTGTTTATGACACGCCCGACCCTGATATTCCCCGAACACCACGGTAAGCATGTGATGGCCGACACCCGAAGGTGACGAAGTCATATTAGGATGCATGAGAACAACAAATATAAATAAAAGTTATGAATTAAAATACAATGATTATGCAAATGAGGAACGTGTTCAGAGCATACAACTAATCTAGAACACTAAAAGGAAAATAATATAAAATTTAATGAATAAGAGACTGGGTCCTACACCGAGAGGACTCGAAGATGCCGAAACGGAAATACCTTAATGCCAGGATTGTGCGCCTCAATTCTAAGTCCTGAGGGGGCGCAAAACAAAAATGAGTGGACCAAGTCGATATATATATATATATATATATATATATAATACTGAAACATTTATCAACATACTAACCCTCAAAGTTTTATGAAAACATTAATAGCATAATATGTAATAGGTTTCCAAAACCCTAACATGCCATAAAACCTTTCATAAAACATATCTATAATATAATGGGCTAAATAGTGGTATCCAATAATAATATATCCCGGCCCAATGCCAGCTCCATGTTTCTTGGTCTGAAGCCAGAGATTATTTCTCTCGGCCCGTAGCCAACAACCATATCCCTTGCCCGTTGGCAGAACAGTGACCACTAAATAGGCACAAAACCATTAAACATAGTATTTCCAAACATAGGTACATATATCTCAAAACATCTTCATAGTATAAAGTCATCCATCATCTATACTATAAAGAAGTGTGTAAAAGCATGTTCTAAATAGCATATAGTCATCCATTATATATACTGCAAAGAACATTAGTTTGATAAAATATGATATTTCAAAATATTCACAGTAAGCATAATATCTCATAAAACATTTCATAAAACGTAATCATTAAATCATGCTTTTCATATATGCATTTCTACTATTAAAACATGCATTTTAGAAGGGGTCCACTCACAGATACTCCGTCGTCGTAAAGTTGTACAAAATAGGAATGACGGAATCGCCGCTAATAATTGCACCTAAGCACATAAAAGGGTACAATTAACAACACTATACTCAAAAGATTGAATTTGGAAAACAGACGTCAAAACAGATTCATAACGTCGAATTATCCTAAGAAAGGTCATGGGTAAATTTTGAAAAGTCAACAAAAAGTCAACATGGGAATATTCCAAAGAATATTCCTCAATTGGGCTGGGCCGGTTCCAAACTGGGTTTGGGCTTGAAAGGTTAAAGGGTTTTGTTGGCCGAAGATTAAGCCTAGGATAACCGGGTCTAGGCCTAAGGTTCCATAGTCCAAAGGCCTGGGTTTCGGTTTTGGGTTAGGCTCAGTGGGCTTAGTAGCCCGGTGCTCAGTTGGGTTTTTAGGTAGGTAGTTGGGCCAGCTTCTATGGCCCAACTCTTTGGGCTGGGTTTATGGTCACCGGACCTAAGGGAAGAAGAAGGCCAGATTTTGGCCGGAATTCCCAAGCTCCGATCATCGTTAAAACTTAATTAAAACTAACCGCTCTATATATCGAAATAAAGGTTGAAGAACAAGGATTCAAGTAGTACCATTGGTTTCCTCAGCCATGGTCCATTCCCACCGGAAAAACAGCCTAGAAAACACGGGTTTTTGCTGGAAAAATAAGGAAGTCACCCATCTGAAATAATTTTCCTCCAACCAGGTTATAAACGGTTTCATATTATCATTAGAAGAGAATTTGGGGAGTTCTAAGGCTTAAAGGTCGTCGGAAAACATGGCACCGACCGTGGTGGTGCCACTGTGCAGGGAAAGAGAAGAATGATGAGCCTTTGCCAGGTCTGGGTTCATGATAGAGAGACCTCGAGGGTGGTGAGGTTGCAGGGAGAAAGAGAGAACTGCAAGAGATGAGAGAGGAAAGAGACTGGGGAACACAAAAACAAGGTGGGCCCCACATGGCTCACCAACCAATCCCAAAAAAAAAAGATAAAATAAGAAAAAAATAACTCTTGAGTGTGAGATTACTATTTTACCCTTTTGACTTGCCAAAATCGGGACGGGTTGTTACAGTTTAGAAGTGCTACATCTGGACTACAATGGTTTCCATAGCCTTCCAAGCTTCAGTGGCCTCTCCAGGCTCAAAAGACTAACCTTGAATGGTCAGCAACCTGGTTAAAATCCCTGATGATTTACCACCAAGGTTGGATTTCCTGAGTATGAATGACTGCACTGCACTAGAAAGAATGCCAAATTTATCAGGATGGCCGGTAGTGGTGAGTTTAGATGGCTCCACCAAGCTCATTGAGTTTCGGCGCTTGGATAGTTAAACACTGTCTTGGTATTGCGCATGCGAGTTCAAAAGAATCACTGAAAATTAAACAAAAATTAAGCCACATACTATAATTTTTTGGCAATTTAAAATTAAACAAAAATTAATAATAAAAGGGGTGAAGTCTGGAGATGAATGGAACCAAGAACATTTTCTTTCCTTTCCTTCCTATATCCTTCATCGTTTATCTCTTCCCCATCATTTTCTCTCTGTCAAATCCTGCATCAATCTCTTAATTTTCTTCATCGATTAACAGAATTTGTATTGGGGTATTGGAATCCAAATTACCTCGCTGTCAAAATGCAGAGCCTTTATACAATCAAAATCTGGTTTGCATACTAGAAGCTTTTCACAATCAACATCCAAATCTTCCATCCCTCTACTTTGCACTTGAAATCCGTGAGCATATATAGAAGATGGGGTGAGTTCGTGGTTTGGAGGTCTCAGCCCTCCGATTTTCAAAATCCCCAAATCAAATAAAAAAAATCTCAGCCCTCTCAATTCCGGGACCCAACCCTCCCGAGAACTCCTCCAATTTTCAAAAAGCCAACTTCCCGATTCCAAGCACCACCGACGGCATGCCCACGATGACACCGATGCAGAAAAAGAAGTGGAGCCTGTGAACTGGAACTAGATGTCCGCCTCGTTTCTGTAGTCCGCTTAATACCAAGCGAAAGCATGGGACTAGCTAAAAAGGTTTGGCGAAAGGCGGAGTGCCTCGTAGTCGAGGCGAGTCCCACTTATTCTAGTCCAGAACCTTACCAAACATAGGATTATAGTCATATTTAAGTTAGTCCAAGCTAGTCCCTCCTAAGGAGGTGTAACAAACGCCCCCTTAGTTGTGTAATTAAGTGTCAAGTATATATACACTTTAGATTAGATCATTTAAAACTCAAATGAAGGACTATGATCAAATACATGGTTAGGTAGATTCATAGTACATATTTTGTCAAGCTCAATTAGAGACAAGAATGTAAGTTGGCAATCCCTCTCATATATAAATCAAGTAATGGTTGATGCATTTGCATAACTGTGTAGCCGTTACATACTGAAACATTCCTTATTCCTTTTTGTTCATTCTCGAAACCAATAAATCCAATCAAACAGGAGACAAAATACATCCAAATCACAAAGTTACCACGATTACCTTTGGATGACACAGATATCAGACGTCGTCTTCAATTTGAAGGGCGGCGACTCTGTCACTGTTATTATACTAGTCAAAGATAATCCAACAGTGCCAGATAAGAGCAATAGAGTTGAGGGATTTAAGGGCAAAATCTGAAAAGACCCTGCCTTTTTTAGGAAAAGACAATAAACACGCTGAGTCAAACTCGGTCTGCCCCGAGATCAGAGTATGTCCTGTGTGAGAAAGGCAGCGATCTATAGTTTTACAGAAACTGCATTGAACGACATGGCGTTTTGGTATTAATATTTGCAAGTCCAATCATTGTCTACGTGTCATTAAGACAGGAAATTTCATTAATTTGCAAGTCCAAACATTGTCTTGTCGGAACAAAAACTGAACTCTCTCTCTCTTGTTCGCACACATTGTCTTGCCTGATAAACGACCTGAAATGGAGCAAATCCAGCACAAGTACGTAACCGTACAAGGCCTGAAGCTCCACGTCGCCGACATCGGAACAGGTCAGATTATCTTCCTCCCCACTTCCTCGTCCGCACACCATTTATTATTCTTAATATAATCGATCCCGTCTTTTTTTTTTTTCGTTTATCACAGGCTCCAATGTGGTCGTGTTCCTGCACGGTTTCCCGGAGATTTGGTACTCGTGGCGGCACCAGATGATTGCGGTAGCCAACGCCGGCTTCCGGGCCATCGCTCCCGAGTACCGCGGAGACGGACTATCCGACCCGCCTCCCCAATCCGAGAAAACCTCGTACCGTGACCTCGCCAGTGACATCCTTGGAATTCTTGATTCCCTTGCTATTCCCAAGGTACTTGTTAGAAAGAATCCTTGTCTCCGGATTCTTCTCCTTAATTATTAATTCCGATTCATTTTTTTAATTACACAAGTCTTTCTCCCTTTTGTTTTGGTAGAAGTTGAGAGAAACTTACTTAGGACGAGATGTCGTTGTTATGCATGTCGGCGAATAATTAGTTTGGGATGTGATTCAGTGGCATCTCCAAAATCGCAGCGAATAACTAGTGGAATAAGGCTTTGTTGTTGTTGTAATCGGAGTAGGATTCATGGTATCACTACACATAAGAGCTAATTGGTAATTGTATTCAAGATTTAAGGCTCTAAAAATTGTATTCAAATCTGCATAGGTTTTCCTAATTGCAAAAGATTTTGGAGTTGGGGTGGCGACATTATTTTCCCTTCTGCACGCGGAGAGGGTCTTAGGCGTTGTAACAATGGGAGCGCCAATCATGCCACCAGGCCCTCGTAGAATCGATAAATCTCTCCAAGAAGGTCTCTACATTTCAAGATGGCAGGTGTACATTTACCTTATTACATGTTCTATACTTTTGTAAGCATGATTTGCTTGCGAGTTTTGCAACTAACTATTACCTCTGTTGCAGGAACCTGGACGGGCAGAGGCTGATTTTGGGCGCCTTGATGCGAAAACAGTTGTTCGTAATGTTTACATCCTTTTCTCCAGAAGCGAAATACCACTAGCTGCAGAAGACCAGGAGATTATGGACCTCGTGGATCCATCTACGCCTCTTCCCCCTTGGTTCAGTGAGGAAGATCTTGCAGCATATGGAGCTTTGTATGAGAAATCAGGTTTCCGAACTGCACTGCAAGTTCCATACAGGTAATGCAGTTGATGAAAGTGGTTTATGCTGTCATATACTCCTAACTGTTGATGGAAACTAACTAATGTGGAACGATCGCACCTAGCATTCGACCAAGTTGTAACCACATTTAAGGATTACACATTGATGGGGCAATTAGAGACGAGTTCGCTGTATCAGATCCGGTAGTTAAAGCTTCGGCACTTCTTATAAGGGGAGGCAAGGATTATTCGAACAAATTTCCAGGGATAGAGGATTACATAAACAGTGGAAAGGTCAAAGAGTTTGCCCCTAATTCAGAGATTGTATTTCTTCCCAAAGGAACGCATTTTGTTCAAGAACAGTCGCCTGACGAGGTCAATCAGCTGATCCTCACCTTCCTCGGAAGGCACATTTGAAACGCTAATGCTTTGCGTGAAGATTGCCAGAGATGAACTGAGATTTGTCTTGGGAAAAAGATGCATGTGATGTGAAACTGCCGGTAATGTAGCGGCAACGAATCTTATGCAGAAGGCAAACTTTGTAATTCTGTTGTGGCATGTAACGTTTCTCGTTCCATTCTTGGCAATAAGCTAACCTTGTGTCTAATACTGAAACAGCAGCCATCCTCAACATTCATCTCCCAGATATGAATATCTTCGTCCCCTTGGCAAAACACTACGAGGCATAACATGCCTCGACTCTCACATACAAACTTGTCAAGGTGTACAGGCAGCTTAACCTCATCAATTTCTATGAAACATTTCTCAAAAACTTCACAACCATCACAAGCACTACTAGATTATTGCCGTTGTACGCCAACAGATCCAACGCCATAATGCCACCAATACGCCTGCCCGGTACAACGTTCCTTTGTAAGGAAAACCTGGACGACGAAAGGTGTCATTGCAGTAGACGTCGAATTCTGGCTGGGAGCTAGAGCAACCGATTGCCTGGTGTATGGATTGCAAATGATGTAGTAATCTCTCAATGCTTGTTCATCACAAGGCGGAAATCCCCAGCGGTATAAAACTAGTCATTGTACAAGGTTAATACATCCTTCATCAATCATGTTTTGGATCAATATTGGGGGCTCCAATTCATCCAACAATGAGGATAATTACACTAAATTTATCTGAATTACGAAAAAATGATTCAAAATTAGGTGCAAAGCATTGAAGCACACAACTCTAGCCAATTTGGTTGAATCAAGGTCCACATAAAGTCACTGAATTTAAGTTTCTTGTACAATTTAAGAAGTCCTGCTTATAAACCCAAGCGTTTCGGAATTAATGTTAATGATGCAAAGTGGAGACTGATCTTAATCCAGGTGCGAAAGAGAAAATACAATAATAAAAATTAAATGGCCACCTACAGTTAGTTTGAGACCACAAACAGTTAGTTTACATCTAGTAGTCAATTCAAGACAATCTGTTAAAACTGACATGTCCTAAATCACATAGTACTCAGGTGAATCGAACGAAACATTAATTTCTAAAGATAGGCACCGTATTTGCTTAGTGGGTGTGCATAAAATTATGTTTTGTCCTCTCACGTGCTTGACACATGTCAATTTTACAGGTCCTTTAATGGAATGTGTTGAATTAGCTAACAGATATAAACACATGACCAATTTGGCCAAATTGAAAACACATTATTAACTTAGCTAATGAAGTAAAACACAGTGACCATTTTGACATTTAAGCCAAAGAAAAATAATGGGGAAAACAAAAAGAACAAATGTTAATTACAACGAAAGCAAGACGTTTTCAGTAAGCTATTATTCTTCGTATACAAGTGTATGGTCTCTGACCTGCTTAAAAATGGTGGGAAAAGAAAAATGAAAGATACAAAAGAATAGAGTAACAGAGGGAAGTAAAAAAAAATACAAAGCAAACAGACCTGCAGTAAGCCCAACATGGCGTGCCTAATCCCGGTTCCATGAGCGTCGTGGAGTCGGGAAAACAACCATTTTATATCCCCGTCATTGTAATAACTACAAGTTGTGGTTTAATGAAGTCTGAGAAAAAAGAAACGGCAACGAAGTTATGGTTATGATGAATTTTTTTACCTCAAATATAACTCCAGATTAAGGTTACTCCGTTAAAGAAATTTTTTGACTCCATCAAAGTGTTAGATTCTTTTTAACTAAGGTTATTTCATGCCAAAAATTGGTTGGATTGCCTTTTCATTTCAATTTTATCTAACAAACATTGTTTTGTTTCCTTCAAAATTTTAATGAGCAATTCAATGGTGACGGGGTCATGGGTCAATGGGTCATCCATCAACAAGTCTTCCCGTGAAACTTCCACAAATGTATCAACAAGGAAACTTCCACCATATAATATGGTGATGGAGACATGGATCAATGGACCCGTATGCATAAAAATAAATAAAAATAAAAAATAAAAATTGAAGAAAACGTTTTTTAGGGGATAAGAAAATGGATTCTCAAAGATACAATGGCTTTGTCATTTGGATAATGGGTTACGCATGGCAACGGAATAGTGTTAAAAATTATATGGTCGTCTCTCGAGAGTTATTTGGTCATCTCAAGATTTGTGAGTTTTATTGTTTGGTTAACTTAAAAGAACAATGAAATTTAAATACGGAATTTATTATTTATAAACTTTCGCTCATGAAAATTTAGAAATGGCACATATTTACATAGAATTTAAACTTGGAAATTGAGATCCCAAATTCCAAGTTTTTTTCAACGCGAAAATTCTAAATTTCTATGTTTATAAATTTAAATAAGAAATTAGTGCATATCAATTTATAAATTATAACTTTTGTCAAAATTTCAAGTTCATTTTTTTTTATCCAAACATAGGGTTATTGCTTCATTCTAAATTGCTCTCCTTGTTACGTTGTGGCTGTGACCCACCCTTTGATTTTTAATTTCAACAACCAGACACATTTGGGCCCAGCGGCATGTTTGCAGCAGCCCAAGGCCCAAGGGTTTCCTCCTTTACTTTTGCATATTTTCCTCTGTTTCCAAAACCCTAGCCCTCTAACCGTGCCCCCTTCCTCCTCTTTTTCGTTTGAACTTTTCGCAGCCGCTGCTACTTGGAGCCACAGAGACCACCGAGAGAGAGAGAACATCCATTGGAGACAACATCAAGTTTCTTCTGGTCCTCTCCTTGGATATTAACTGCACCCTGAACCCCAATCAAGTTGGAAATGCCGGCCCTCTGCAGCAGAGAGACGATCGGTTTGCATTCCAACGAAATGCTAGAGAGCATGTGATCGTAGGTTCAATTGGGGTTGCGGCGGCGCTAATTCTGAGATTTCCTTCCCTCACGTGGTCAATTGGAGTTGAAAAAAAATCAAAGAAATGGATAACTGGCTGAAATTAGTGACGCTGTCAATCATGGTGCTGGTATGTGGTTGCTTAGAGTCCTACCACTTTGCTGTCCTCGTCTTCCTCCTCTTCTCTATCGGCCTTGTCTTTCGCCAAATGAACATCTCGGTCCCCGATGAAGCCTCCTCTTCATCATACTCCACCACCTCGTCCTCCTCGTCTTCCATCTCGGTCCCCGATGAAGCCTCCTCTTCATCATCCTCCACCTCCTTGTCCTCCTCATCGAAGGGTTCGCTCTACGATGTGTTCATAAGCTTCAGAGGCGAAGACACACGTAAAAGCTTCACAAGCCACCTCTATAAAGCATTGACAAATGCCGGAGTCCACGCCTTTATTGACGACGAAGAACTAACAAGAGGAGAAAATATAACTACCGACCTAGTGCGGGCAATCCAAGGTTCTAAGATCTCTCTCATCGTCTTCTCAAGCCGGTACGCGGACTCCAGCTGGTGCCTCGATGAGCTGCTTCATATCATGGAGTGTAGAACAACGCTGGGGCAAAAAGTTATACCGATATTCTATGACATTGATCCTTCGGATGTCAGGCACCAGAAAAATAGTTTTCATATATCGTTTCTGAAACATACAGATAAAAAGAATGTAGCGAGGTGGAGAGCTGCTCTTACTCATGCTGGAAATTTGGCTGGCTGGGTTGCCGGGAATCATTGGTACGGTTAAAATTTAATTTTAGTCCTTGATATTAATCACCTCATTTATTAATTATATTTAAAGTTTTAATTATTATTTTCATTTCCTTCATCATAATATATTTTGTTGTAAAAATTTAAATAAACTAATTTTTGTTATGCAATATATCTTGATCAGGTATATTAAATTTAATATAATACATCTCGGTGCATGCATTTTAGTATATATATTTCGGTACAAACATGTCGGTATGTTAATTTAATATAATACATTTTTGTGCATACATTTCGGTACACACATTTAAGTGCATTAATTTAATATAATACATTTTAGTGTATACAATTCGGTTTATACATTTCAGTACATATATTTTAGGTACATTAACTGAGTCTTTTAAGTTTAAAAAATGCTAAATAAAATTAATAAATTAAAAAACTTTTTTCGATAAAAAAATAAATTAAAATGTGTATATTAATAAAATCAAATATTTAATGGGATACGTTGAATAAAATACACAATAATTAATTTGAATTAAGAACATATCAATGGACTATAATCAATATGTAGTTTAACACTAGGTTTTTATAAAATTTCAATTTTTTTCAAGGATTAAAGTTAAAAAGCCCCTCTGAATCTGTGGAACATAAAATAAAATAAAGGAAAACCTTTCCCTTCTTCGGACCATGTTTATACATACAACTGTGAATTCTTAAACCTCTCTTAATAAAATCATACAATAAAGCTAGAGCTAAACTGTTAAGGGGCTACACTAATCACAGCAGGGAAGCCGCCGGCGAATGGCTGCGGTAGGAAGGGGATGTTGGGTTCTGTTTGTTTGTGTTTCTTATTTAAATTTAAATTTTACTTGATGTTTGCTAAGTTTAAACAAAACATCTCAAAAGAAAAATTGTCTTAAATAAAAATCTCTAGTCATGATAAATAATTTTGTGTATTAGTTCATTTTAGTCTTGTAGTTGTATAACAATCTTCGTTTTGCGTCTCAACTCGACTAATGCCAGGAATGACACAGATTTGATCGGAAAGATTACTAGTGAAGTCCTTGTCATACTGAACAACACATATTTAGATGTAGCGCCCTACCAAGTCGGAATAGATTCTCGAGTGTTAGATATTAGTAAATATTTAGGTGTTGGAGATTCAGATGGTGTTCGCGTGATTGGAATTTCAGGCATGGGTGGAATAGGAAAAACAACGATTGCCAAAGCTGTTTATAACGAATTTTATGACAAGTTTGAATGTAAAAGTTTCCTTGAAAAAGTGAGGGAAAAGGCAGTAGAAAAATTGCAAAAACAACTTCTTTCAGATATCTTGCAAATGACCAAGATAAAGGTAAGCAGTGTCGCTGCAGGGACCGCCTTGGTAAGGGAAAGATTTCGACACTTAAAGGTACTTGTCATATTTGATGATGTAGACGATGTGAAGCAGCTACGCGAATTAGCTGGAAATTGCCGCTCTTTTGGCCTAGGGAGCAGAATTATCATCACAACAAGAAACAAACATATGCTACAAGAATTTGAAGTTGATAAGATATATCCGGCGAAAGGAATGGAACAAGAAGAAGCTCTTGAGCTCCTAAGTTTGCATGCTTTCGGAAGTAAGTATTGTCCGAGTGGATATCTCAAGCTCGCAAGAAAAGTTGTCGATTACTGTGGAGGACTGCCATTGGCTCTTCAAGTTTTAGGTTCGACCCTGTTCAAAAGAAGCATAGGAGAGTGGAAAAGTACATTGGATAAACTGGAAAAAATTCCTCCTGGAAGAATTCATGAACAGCTGAAAATAAGCTACGACGGGCTAGATGATTACGAGAGGGAGATATTCCGCGATATATCTTGTTTCTTTATTGGGATGGACAAGAATGATGTCATGCAAATCTTGGATGGTTGTGGCTTTTCTGCAACGGCAGGAATCGAGGTCCTCCATGGACGGTGCCTTGTAACTGTTAATAGAAAAAACAAGCTAATGATGCATGATTTGCTTCGGGACATGGGCAGAGAAATCGTGCGTACAGAAAATCCCAAGTATCCTGAAAAACGGAGTAGGTTGTGGCGTTCTGAAGATGTAAAAGCTTTATTGATAGACAATTCTGTAAGTACTTTACCAATCGAACTTTATTTTAAATGCGTAAGGAATAGAACAGAAGCATATATATGTAAGCAATCGAACTTTTTTGTATGCAAAACCTTCTCGTATTTAGAGCCTGTTTTTGGTTAGCAGGGAACTGAAGAAATTGAAGGACTGTCTTTGAATTTGTCGAGTCTTGATGAAGAGACTAGTTTCAGCACTGAGGCATTTACAAATATGAAGAGACTCAGATTGCTCCAACTCAAGTACATTCAGCTCACAGGAGGATATCAATGTCTTTCCAAAAAATTAAAATGGTTGTGCTGGCGTGGATTCCCTCTAAAGTTCATACCAAAAGACTTGTGTCAACCAAATATAGTTGCTATTGACATGAGATATAGCAGCCTCAGACAAGTTCTTTGTGAGGAATCCGGGGTAAGTACCAAGTAACCTCAACCAAATTAATATATATATTTTTTTTCCTTCTGGTACTGTGCAAAACATCATTCTCTCTTTATCTTCTTTTTGGTTTTTGATTTTGATTTTTAATTTGGTTGTGTCTAACAGTTGCTTGACAAGTTGAAGATTCTAAATCTCAGCCATTCCCATGACCTAACACGATCACCGGATTTTTCAAAACTCCCAAATCTTGAGAAATTGATACTCAAAGGTTGTAAAAGATTGTCTGATGTTCACGAATCGATTGGAGATCTGAAGAGTCTATTTTTGGTAAATTTGGAAGGCTGCAAAATGCTTAAGAATCTCCCCAATACTTTTTATAAGTTGGAATCTGTTAAATGTCTTGTTCTTAAAGGTTGTTCAGAATTCAAAAACTTGTCTGAGGACTTGGGAAAAATGTCATCCTTGACAACTCTTGTTGCAGATGAGATGGCCATAACAGAAGTACCATCTTCCATCGCACGACTGGGGAACCTTCAGTCCTTATCTCTGCGTAACATGAGGTCGTCCCTGAAGTTACCTCCTTCATTAATGGGCATGCACGCATTAAGAGAATTAGATCTTAGTGGCGGCAATTTAAAGGAAATTCCTAACGATATCAGGAGTCTATCTTCTTTGGTATCATTACTTCTGGACCGCAATGGTTTCCAGAGCCTTCCAAGCTTCAGTGACCTCTCCAGGCTTCAAAGACTAAGCCTGAATGGTTGCAAAGACCTGGTTCAAATCACTGATGATTTACCACCAAATTTGAGTCTTTTGAGTATGAATGACTGCACAGCACTAGAAAGAATGGCAAATTTATCAGGATGGCCGAGAGTTGTGGCTCTAGATGGTTCCTCCAATCTCATTGAGTTTCAGGGCTTGGACAGGGCGTTAAACACGGGTATGATACTTGGCATGCGAGCGCACAACAGAATCTCTGAATTCCTATTCAAGGATAGCACACTACAGGTTCTCTCTCTCTCTCTCTCTCTCTCTCTCTCTCTTAACGTCATATACCTTATACAAATCTTGTTGAACATGCTATAGGGATGGACTGGTACTGGATATATTTATCTTCGAGCAAATCATATTCCGACTTGGTTCAATATTGTCAACAAGAAGGGTGACCGAGTCTATTTTCAAGTGCCTCATGAAATCGGTTATAAGTTAAAAGCGTTGGCTGTGTGCTTCTCTTGTCGTCCCTATAAGTTGAGCTCTCCTTTGACATATTCCATTTCTGTTATCAATCATACCAAGTGCACTTGCATTCATGCCGATGTATCCGATTTCTATCCGCCTGCTCGCTTGGAAGAATACCTTTGGATGGGACATTTCTCAAACGACGACTTCAAATTGGAGGGCGGCGACTCCGTCCATGTTATTGTACAAGCCCGAGAAACTGAGACTGGGGTCATCAGGGTGGAGAAAACAGGGGTACGTCTAGTATCCGACAAACGTATTGATTTCAACTTTTCGTCTATTCATTACGGTTCCATCCGTTATGATGAGGCCTTCAACAAATTTTCGATCAGTGATGATGATGATGATGATGATGATGATGGTGGTGGTGCATGACGACAAATCATCTATCATAGACCTTCCAAAAGACGGAGGTTTGATCCAATACTTGACTAAGGTCTAGTTTGCTATTGTTGTGCTATGGAAAAAAAAAAAAAAATCTGATGTTGTGCCGTGAGAATTAGTAACTATGAAATAAAATAGTAATGTGTTTGGTATACTATTTGTAAAAGTACTTTTCGGGAAAAAAAAATTGTCTGGTAAAATTTTACATAAAACCATGGTGATTGTGTAAAATGATCAAAAAGAGACATAATATTGGATGTGCTATTAACAAATAAAGATCAGTTATTAAATGTACCTTGTTTTGTTTTAAAGAATATATTTATATTTTAATTTAAATCTTTCTCAAATACTAAATAATGTGACAAATTGCCTCAAAATATTGAAGATTTGAAATATTTCAAATTAAATAGCTAGGATTTATTAAAATTGTTCCATGGACTTGAAATACCAACAACCAACTGGTACATACTTCAAGTAGAATAACAAACAACTTTTATTCAATATAAAAGTAGTCTAATTAGATGTATTCATTGAACTTGTAGCTATGCTATTTCTTAATACTTCTATTTTATGTAATCCTTCACTTGATGGTAATACGTTCAGAATGTCTCTGTATGTAGTTATGAAGAGTCATTGTAACAATGACAATCTCTTATTCAACAGTTATTAGGCATATCCCTTAAGATTCTCCATCTTTTCTTTCATACCCCAAATGTTTGTTCAATGATGCTCGTAAGAGGAGAAAGAATTTTATTATTAAACGGTGCATGATATTATAATACATATTAAAAGAAGAGTACACAAATCTAAATTTTATTATTCCTTACTCCTCAGAGGCATAAACAATACCTTTGCTCGAATGCCACCATAAGCCAGTTTGTTACCAACGAGTTCTTTCATCAACCAATATATAAAGGACGAACAAAAAAACATAACAAGATATTGTGTAACGGTTAAGAAAACATATCCCGGATTGTTTGGGATTGTATAGGAAACAATTGAAATTGTTATTTATATTACCTTTTCTATTATACTCACTATTAGGGATCTAAGTGTTGTGAATATCGCGTTTAAGAATGGGAAAAATAGAACAAATTCCAGAAATCGAAAACAAATAACCAAGATAAATAACACCAAGAATTTATGTGGTTCAGCAATATGTGTCTACGTTCACGGGATAGCAACAACAATCTTTCACCATATCAATAATGAGTACAACCAATAGTCTTACCAAGTCTCCAGAATTGAAGACTTGACAAAAAACCTGAAAAAAGAAGAACAATAAATACACTCTTTTTCTTTTCTCTCGCACATACTTTACAATATTCTCTCACCCTAATTCCTTGGTATACAAAATATTGTTTTGCTCCCTTATTCAAAACTAGTACAATAACCCCTATATATAGACATAATAAAGGTCTTCTTCAATAAGGATTATTAATCCTAATTGGAATCTAGTTATGAATCTTTCTCCAATTGAGAAAACAACTTCGATTGGGTAAACAATTTAATCCTCTAAGACTAATTCCTTATAGACTTATGACAACTTATCATGGGCTGGAAAAACCCAACACTAAGACCATTATCTATTGAACTTTCCAAGTCAATGAGAATCATTGCCACCTAGTACTACAATCTAATGGTATTTCTCTTAACGAAGTCTTAGGTTCTAATCTCGTGGATGATGAACTCGATATCAAATTAGGTTGCTCATTGTATGACTTACCTGAAATCCTCCATCCCCTTAGTGTAATACCAATTTAGCCCACGCGTTGCCGACTTATCGCAGAATGTCAAACGAATTATAAGAATTGTATTTAAGTCTTCAAATACAAGACTACACGTATTATAAAAATGGTGTGTAAAAAGTATTTACATAAGGTTGTTACAAATCAATGGTTAGACGAAATAACATGACAAACTTTATTTTGATTAGGGACGTGAAAAACTATCTAGCAACACAATCTGTCAAGAGATGTAAGTTCTCTCTCTCTCTCTCTCTCTCTATACACACACACACACACACACACACACACGTCAACTTGTCATATTTCATAAAACTAAAAGCATGGGTAATTTAGGGGGAGGCAGATTGTCTGCCCTCTTGTTTGGATGCTCTTCTCATCCTCTCTTATTTTGTACGATCACGGTTAAGTCACGTCAACATTTTATATTGATTTTTTTATAAAGATAATAAGACAAAAAGTAATAGGAATATAACAATAAACAATTAGAGACGAAGCTCTATTACCATAAAGGAATCAGTATGTTAATATTGATGAGTTTGTTCTTTGAAAGGTTCACAGAATGCAAAAAAATAGAGAGAGAGAGAGAGAGAGAGAGAGAGAGAGAGAGAGAGAGAGAAGAAAGAGAAAGTGAAATTGTATTTGATTTATTGATAGCCAAGTTATGATTACAATAGTTGTTATATAGTTCTTCCTTACTTAGTTGATATTTAGCTAAATAACTAACTCTCCTCCTTATCTCAACAAACTTGTAACAACCTATATTAGCTTACTCATTAATCTATTGACAAGTGTCATCTAGTTTGATCTTTGATCTTCTCTTCACTTGGATCCTTACATCCCCCTCAATCGTATGCTCAAGTGAACTGAGCATAAGATTGTCACAAGGTTGTTGAAACAAGGGTGCTGGCAAGCCTTTTGTAAGTATATCTGCAGATTGCTCAACAGAGGAAACATGGTGTACATGAAGATCTCCCTGATTGACCCTTTCTCTCACAAAGTGATAATCTATCTCAATGTGTTTTGACTTGGCATGAAACACTGGATTTGTTGAAAGAGCTATTGCTGAGATATTGTCACAATATAGGACTGGAGGTCGATGAATATCAACATGTAAATCACAAAACAACTGTCTAATCCAAGCTAGTTCTGCAGCTGTGATTGTTAAAGCTATGTACTCAGCTTCTGTGGAAGACCTTGAAACTATGTGTTGCTTCTTTGATGCCCAAGAAATTGAATTTGAACTGAGATAAATAACAAAGCCTGAAGTGGATCTTTTGTCATTTGGGTCACCTGCGCAATCTGCATCACCGTAGAATTAGAAATGTATTGGTCCTGGTCTAAATTTAATACCAAGATTTGAAGTGCCTTTGCAACATCTGATGACCCTTTTAACTGCAATAACTTGTGATTCCATAAGGTTGTGCATAAATTGACATGTTTGATTCACTGAGAATGCTATATCTGGTCTTGTAAATGTGAGATACTGAAGAGCTTCAACAATGCTTCTATATTGATCAGGACTATGATATGACTTTCCATCATTCTTAAGAAATCTGTGATATAGGAGTCATAGAGTAGCACAAGACTTACAATCTTGTAAATCAACCCTTTCAATCAATTCATTGATGTACTTTGTAAGAGTCATGGTGTAACTAATCTGCAACCCTAAGAAATAATGCAGTTTCCTCAAATCTTTCATATCAAACTCAGCTGTTAGATCTGTAATTACATCTAAAATTAACTTAGAACTACTACCAGTAAGTATCACATCATCAACATAGAGCAACAAAATCACAATGCCTTTGAATGAATGTTGAACAAACAGAGAAGGATCAGCTTGTGAAGCTTTCAACCCCAAAGCTATTAAAAAAACTTGTAAACCTGTCATTTCAGGCTCTAGGAGCCTGTTTAAGGCTATATAAAGACTTGTGTAATTTGCAAACATAGTTGGAATGATGTGTTGAACTTTGAAATCCTAGAGGTTGTTCCATATACACCTCATCTTGAAGAACTTCATGCAAAAATGCATTTTTCACATTTATTTATCTAAGAGGCTAGTTGAAATGTGCAACCAATGCCAGAATAAACCTGATAGTTGTAGGCTTTCCCACAGGGCTAAAAGTCTCTCCATAATCAATTCATTCTTCCTGACTATTCCCCTTTGCCACCAATCTTGCTTTGTACCTTGCAACGGATCCATTTGCATCTCTCTTAATTTTGTATACCCATTTACAACTAACTAGGTTCTTGTCAGGTAGTAATGGAACCAAAAACCAAGTCTTCTATGTATGTAAGGCATTAGTTTCTTCTGTCATGGCATCTTGCCACTTTGAAACTTTTGAAGCTGCTTTGAAGGTTTTTGGTTTTGTGACAGATGGCTGAGAATAGTTCACAAAAGTTGAGAAAGCTTTTTTTTTTTTTTTTTTTTTTTTTGAAGATTCCATTTTTGGACCTTGTTTGCATAGGATGAAGATTCATAGGTATTAGCAATACAACATGTAACTGCTCATGTTGAAGGTCGGGATCCACAGGGATGAGATACTGTGTAGGAGAGTGAGGCTGTTGTACTATATTGGAACTCTGTGAAGGTGAGTGAATAAACTCTAAGGCACTAGATGCAAGTGTATTCAAGGAATATGAAGCTCTAGATGTTGTCAAGGAATATGAGGCACAAGATGAATGCAAGGTCAAGAACTCTATGGTTTGAGATGTTGATGAACGATTATGAGATGCAAGTGATACTACTTGATTATTTAATGAAACAGATGTTGTTGGAGGGCTTTGAGAATGCTCATGTATACTTGCAGATGATGACTGTGTGAAGTTGGGTAATTGTGTAGCCCTAGAATATGGAAAAGTTGTTTCATCAAACAAAACAAGCCTAAGTATATATATTCTTTGTGTTGAAATATCTAGACAAATAAAACCTTTATAATGACCTACATAACCAAGGAAAACACAGGTTTTTATTTTTGGTTGTAGCTTAGAGCTGTTGTATGGTTTAAGTATAGTGGAAAGCATGCACAACCAAAAAATTTCAAATGATTAATGTATGGAACCTATTTAAATAACAATTGGTAAGGGGATTTCATTTGTAAAGTAGCACATGTCATTCTATTGATCAAATATGTAGCTGCAGCACAAGCATGGAACGAGAATTTAGCAGGTAAACTTGCAATTTGAAGCAATGTGATTGCAGTTTCTACAACATGTCTATGTTTCCTTTCTGCCAACCCATTTTATTCTAGGGTGTGGGGACAAGATCTTTGGTGTAACAAGCATTTTTGTGACAAGAAATGTTGAAACAACCTGATTGGATATGGAATGTGCAAACACAAAAACATGGACTCCATACTTCGGCCTACCAAAAACTCTTTGTGGATGCTTACCCCAGAATCGTCTGCATGAATTTTTTTTCGTTTTTCAAGCCATGCTTTATCGATAGCCTATCATATTTCGTATTCTCGATGTGTCTTTAGATTGTGAAACATACCCATCTTATCCTTTTTGGCCTGCATCTGATACTTAAGAGTTACAAAAGCATTAGAAACTGCGTATTGTATCTTAAACTATAATTCTTATTGCACTTCAGTAATACCTCAAACTTTCAAATGTTGCTTTAGCTTCATCACTCATTTTTCAATGGATTTTCTTCGGGCCTCCCTGGCCTATAAAATACAGAATAGGAACGTGAAATATAAAAGTTACAACCACTAAAAAACTAGATTATACTTTTAGTTTTAGACAATATGTTCAAACACCCAAATATAATTTATATCTTCCAAAAAAAGAAGAAACCTCTCGATTAGATTTCTTTCGCTCATGAACTTTCTCCTTGACAAACTCCTAAGATAGAACCAAAAAGGAAAATCAGTCACAACTGGAGCAAGGAGTGGGGAAGGAGGCAGAGAGAAGTGGGAATTATACCTGGAAACAACAAAAAAAACCATCGAGTATGGCAATCTGTGAACACCATGCTTGGCAAGGGTAGAAATTTCATTTAATATTGGCATGAACATGATAAGATCCATATGCAAAATAAAAACAAAATACAGTATACTAGTTCATAAAAACTTGCACCCAACTCCCTGTTCATAAAAAACACAGAAAGAAAGTGCATTAGTTTGGTATAACCGAATAACCATGCACAATAATGAGCTCATACTCAGATTGAGAGACGTTGAAACATGATTATACAAATCATATATAAGAAGAAATATTCTACGCATATACTTTGAGTAACAGAAATTATACTAAAAATTTGAAATTATTATTGATTAAGCCCACGATCAAAAATCAATCAGCTGATCCTCACCTTCCTCCGAAAGCGCATTTGAAACGCTGATGCTTTGCTTGAAGATTGCCAGAGATGAAGTGAGATTTGTCCTTGTGATGAATCTTATGCAGAAGGCATACTTTGTAATTCTGTTGTGGCATGTAATGTTTCTCGTTCCATCCTTGGCAATAAGCAAAACTTTGTGTCTAATACTGAAACAACAGCCATCCTCAACATTCATCCATAAGTACATGTTGGAACTCCCTCTCCTTTTTTATTTCCAACTGTTACCAGATCATCCATAAGTATCATTGTTGTCATTCAGGGACTGGGAGTGTTGTTTAACCACTCTGTTTTTAGTTTTCACTTTTTCATTGTTGTCATTCAAGTCCCACAACATGCCTTTCGTGATTTCTCTTCAAACAAATCAATCACGCCATGTTTTATTCCAAATTAGGAATCAATACTCGTTATATAGATATCCCGACGACGCAAAAATACCTCAACACCAGCACACTTACCGCTCGAAGCAAGTGTAATTATAGCTTTAACTTCCGGGTAATTTAACTTTTTACCCTTGAAAACCAGCACCACCAGTTCAGTTTATTGGTGAAGATGATGCCTATATTGCCTCTGTGGTTGTTATTTGGGCTCCAACACATTTCAGAGAAGCCCTCTTCTTCTCTTGTAGTCGTTAACTTTCAGTGTCAGTGGATGCCTCCTCCCGTCATTCTCTGGGACTCGACATCCAATCGTTGCTTCTATTCGCTGTTTTCTTGCCAGGAACCCTTCCTGAGCTCCTTGTGGCCCGCCATACTTTTGAGGAGCAGCCAATGAGATTGGCAGCTCAAAATTGTGCTTCAGATTTAACTCTGTTCCAAAATCAACAGGAGCACTCGTATCAATCAGCTTCCCCGCACCAGCTGTAGCTTCCAAAATCAACAGGGCTTTGACACATGGTATCATCTGCTTCACAGTTGCGGCTGAGTAGACAAATGAGTTCGTTTTCCCTGATGAACTCGTTCTTCATGCAGCCTCCAATAGCAAATTTTCTAACTCTGCCATTATCTGCTGTACCTTCCTGTATGTTTTAATCTCTGCAAATTACAGCAAAACCTGCACAAAACCCCAAAGGGTATTTAGTATTCACCCGTTTTAATCCTTTAATATCTGGTATTCGAACAAAAAAAGGACAATATATTCAAAAATCTGAGGGTTTCGCTGATCAGATATATTCGGATTATCCAACTCGCCAGACAAAAGCAAGAGAGACGAGGGATTTAAAGGGCTTGTAAATTTGAAAAGATCCGGCCTTTTTCGGGTGATCATAAACTCGCTGAGTCAACTCGTCAGGGTGTCTTGTGCGCGAAAAGCAGCTGTTTTATTTTGTAGTTTTTCAGAAACTGCGTGAAAGCGACATGTCGTTTTGGATTAACAGTTAATGTCAACTGACTGGTATTTTATCTTTCATTAATTTGCAAGTCCAAGCATTGTCTAGTCTGAAAAACCACCTGAAATGGAGCAAATCCAGCACAAGTACATAACCGTACAGGGCCTCAAGCTCCACGTCGCCGACATCGGAACAGGTCAGATTATCCTCCTCCCCACTTCCTCTCGCGCACACCATTTACTATTTTTAATAAAATCGAACACAAACACAATCGATCGATCGCCGTCTTTTTTTTGTTTGTCGTAGGTTCCAATGTGGTCGTGTTCCTGCACGGCTTCCCGGAAATTTGGTACTCGTGGCGGCACCAGATGATTGCGGTAGCCAACGCCGGCTTCCGGGCCATCGCTCCCGACTACCGTGGATACGGACTATCCGACCCGCCTCCCCAATCCGAGAAGACCTCGTACCATGACCTCGCCAGTGACATCCTTGGAATTCTTGATTCCCTTGCTATTCCCAAGGTACTTGTTAGAAAGAATCCTTGTCTCCGGATTCTTCTCCTTAATTATTAATTCCGATTAATTTTTTTTAATTACACAAGTCTTTCTCCCTTTTGTTTTGGTAGAAGTTGAGAGAAACTTACATACGACGAGATGTCATTGTTATGCATGTCGGCGAATAATTAGTTTGGGATGTGATTCAGTGGCATCTCCAAAATTGCAGCGAATAACTAGTGGAATAAGACTTTGTTGTTGTAATCGAAGTAGAATTCAAAGTATCACTACACATAAGAGCTAATTGGTAATTGTATTCACGATTTAAGGCTCTAAAAATTGTATTCAAATCTGCATAGGTTTTCCTAATTGCAAAAGATTTTGGAGTTGGGGTGGCGACATTATTTTCCCTTCTGCACGCGGAGAGGGTCTTCGGCGTTGTAACAATGGGAGCGCCAATCATGCCACCAGGCCCTCGTAGAATCGATAAATCTCTCCAAGAAGGTCTCTATATTTCAAGATGGCAGGTGTGCATTTACCTTGTTACATGTTCTATACTTTTGCAAGCAGGATTTGCTTGCGAGTTTTGCAACTAACTGTTACCTCTGTTGCAGGAACCTGGACGGGCAGAGGCTGATTTTGGGCGCCTTGATGCGAAAACAGTTGTTCGTAATGTTTACATCCTTTTCTCCAGAAGCGAAATACCAATAGCTGCAGAAGACCAGGAGATTATGGACCTCGTGGATCCATCTACGCCTCTTCCCCCTTGGTTCAGTGAGGAAGATCTTGCAGCATATGGAGCTTTGTATGAGAAATCAGGTTTCCGAACTGCGCTGCAAGTTCCGTACAGGTAATGCAGTTGATGAAAGTGGTTTATGCTGTCATATACTCCTAACTGTAGATGGAAACTAACTAATGTGGAACGATCACACCTAGCATTCGACCAAGTTGTAACCACATTTTAAGGAGTGTTGAACTCTTTTTTGCACATTGATAGGGCAATTAGAGACGAGCCTGCTGTATCAAATCCAGTAGTTAAAGCTCCGGCACTTCTTATAAGGGGTGGCAAGGATTATTCGAACAAATTTCCAGGGATAGAGGATTACATAAGCAGTGGAAAGTTCAAAGAGTTTGCCCCCTATTTGGAGATTGTATTTCTTCCCGAAGGAACGCATTTTGTTCAAGAACAGTCACCTGACGAGGTCAATCAGCTGATCCTCACCTTCCTCAGAAAGCACATTTGAAACGGCTTTTGCTTGAAGATTGCCAGAGATGGAAGTGAGATTTGTCCTTGGGAAAAAGATGCATGTGATGTGAAACTGCCAATAATGTAGTGGTGAGGAATCTTGTGCAGAAGGCAAAATTTGTAGTTCTCTCGTTCCATCCCGGGCAATAAGCAAACCTTGTGTCAAATACTGTAACAACAGCCATCCTCAACATTCATCTCCCAAATATGAACATCTTCGTCCCAACGGTTTAGCACAACTTTTGATCTCGGAGTCCAATTTTAGCCTTTTCGGAAGCAGAATGACGGGACAAAATAAAGCTCACCCCCGCTTTGCTGTGACATAAGATGGATTTCGAGCGTTCAACGTCGTTCAGAGGCATAAAACTATGTCATTGTACATGGATAAGGCATAAAACTATTTCATTGTACACGGATAATGCATCTTCATCCAATCATGTTTTGTAATAATATTTTGGGGCTCCAGTTCGTCCAACTGCTAAGATAATTACGCTAAATTCATCTAAATTACGAGAAAAGTGATTCAAACTTGGGTGCAAGGCGTGAAGCATAGAACTATAACAGAGAAAGGTGATTCAAATTTGAGAAGTCCTGCTTATAAACCCTGGCGTTTCGAAATTAACACTTGCGATGCAGAGTGGAGTCGATCATAATCCAACTGTAACAGAGAAAGTACAAAGCAAATATTAATGGCCACCATAATTAGATTGAAACCAAACGGTGATTGACCACAATTTTCTTAGACCACGGATAGAGCATTACTCATTATTACGAACAACAAAAACAAAAAATAGTGGAAAACAAAAGGAAGAAATGCTAATTACAACGAAAGCAAGACATTTTCATTAAGCTACTATTCTTCGTATACAAGTATGGTCTCTGACCTATTAAAAATGGTGGGACAAGAAAAAAGAGAGATACAAAAGAATAGCGTGACAGGGGGAAGGAAAACGAAAACCTAAAAAAAATAACAAAGCAAACAGGCCTGCCTGCAGTCAGCTCAACACGGCGTGCACCTGAATCCAGGCTTGATGAGCGTCGTGGAGATGGGTAAACAACCATTTTTCTAAAAGGAAAGCCAAATCTGTACAGGATTCTCGTCCATCTCTGAAGCTCTCACCGTATCCTACATGATTCAATTACTTCGCTCACAGCTTTATGAGTCTCGGGCGATATCATGTTTAGCGTCAAATGGAATGCCTGAGGAAGAAATCATAGATATATATATAATCACATAAGAGCAATTATAACTTTCCGTCAGTTAACAAACTACGTGCACCAATTTTTTGATGTTTCAAATCTAGCATAACTTGGCATCGACAAATTTCGTTCTGTTAAGCTCTAACATCATATATATCATGGTTTAGAACTTAATACACATACCACAAATCTGTCCAACACAGGTACTAGGATAGCCAGGTTGCGGTCTGGGAGACAGTCAGAAATTGCATCACGTATGCTCTTACTGAGGGCAGCAAACAAATTCTGATGAGAATATGCACAACGATGTGCTTAATAAACAGGAAAGAGAGCAAACAACCCTACCTCTCAGTTGAAAGAAATGCTAGAAGCAAGGCAGAATAAGCTTCTACTATCATTTTCTCCGCTTCCTGTTCTCCTTGTAAGACAGCTGCCTCATCAGTCTGTACCAATACAACAAAATCAAAGTTAGAAAACATCAACTAATACAAGATATGAGATGAAAACAGTTAACCAGAGCACAACCAATTATATGGTAAATAAAATTTCAATTTCTTGTCTTTGTTTTGCAAGACAGTAGGAGGCAGGCACTTGTGTTTTCAAGAAATCACAACTTAAACAACAAAACTGAAATTTCCATAGTCAACAGGAACATACTGGTAAAATCGTTTCTTCTCCACCTCCCTCGCCTGCACCTTGGTTGGCTAGAAAGATAGAGCAGATTAGCAGAATTAGATCCTTGCGACTCTCCTCTTTAAGCCCTTCTGAACTAGGTAAGTGAACACTAGCTGCTGCAAGACGCGATCTGGATGAAAAGCAAGTTTGTTAAATTTAAGAGCATGACAGTCCTAATGCGGCAGAATAATTTATAAAGAATTAGAAACTAAGACTAGTTAATCTGAATTAGAAACTAAGACTAGTTAATCTGCAGCACAAGCACTACGATTACAATATAGCAACTTTCACTGACTTAATTTTTTTTGTATCTACAAGTTGTTTAATGGAAGTAGTCACCTCTATAACCCTGCCATTATCTCCACATACATGTATACAAGAATATTGGACAAATTCTTGTACAGACCCCTCATCCTATCTATACAATTATTCAAAACTGGCCTAACAGTAACGTATTCATGCATATTATTCGAGATACTTTGAAAGGAGCATCTCTGTTACACCTTAAGAAGCAATTTGGACTCTACAAGAATAGGATGTGGAAGACATTTCCACTCTCTCAACGATACCACTTCATTGGAACCAACTGTGGTAACGTGTTCTCTTAGTTGAACTATAAATTGAGCTAAAAAATGGAGGTCGGTTGTTAAAATGAGAATGTATAAACAGATGGACAAAAAATGAGATGGAAATTAACCTGTTTTGGCCATCTTTCTCCACTAAGTTCACAAGCAGGCCTAAAATAGCAACAAGAAAGTCCAGCTCTTGATCAGTGAGACGTTTATCATTCTGATGGTCAAGTTCCATGTTGGAAGTATTCTCACTTCTCTCGCTGAAGGGAGAAGATAATGAGTTGAAAGATGGAAAGTGGTTGGCAATCAAGGAAGACAAGGTTTCCAGTCCTCCATAGGCAGCAATTTGGTGACACCCAACAGGATTATCATTTGCTAAGTTCATCAGAACCTGCCAAGAAAGACGTTTATGAGTTTGCACGGTTTAATGGCTTTTTCTGTGTTCCAACACACTGCATGGACGATGGGATTTCGATTAATTGAAAAAGCGATCTTCCATTAATATGAGTAACCAAAATAATCAAACAGCTTATGAGTATTATAAACATAAAACTTACACTGGAAAATAACTGAATAAGTCATAGTTGAGAGCTGTTAGTAGACCAAGAGAGAAGTAAACAGTAACTAATGAATCTAAAAATAAAACCTGCATCTGATCAAGAGACCAAAAAACAACTACATTGTACACCAGTAACACCACCACCCCACCCTCAACGGCATAGAAGTTGACAGGGAGAGCAACAAAAGTTCAATGCGATGTGAAAAAGGTTTAATATAGTGGACTGCAGAATTACCTTGACAGCAGTAAGAAGGCAGTCTGCTACAAGACTGGAACCTTCTCTGCTAACAGCACCTGAACAGGTGGTCTCTTGTTTCTGATGGTTTTCTCCATTACTCGATGCTTCTTGGCTCATAATAAGCTGCAATTGACAAATGTCATCAATTTCTCTGTATGCTGTCGCATTCTCTTGCGAAAGAGAGAACTTTTTCTTGCCAGATAACTTGTCCCACTTAGAAGGTTTATAATCATCTTCATCAAATGCAAAAGGATCTTGACTCCCCTGTGAAAGATCAGTTTTCGAGTCTTGGGAAATATAGGATCTCTGACTGAGATCAGCATCCATCCTGGAATCATCGCTAAATGTGAAAGGATCTTGACTCTCTTCTGAAAGATCAATTTTGGAGTCGTCAAAGTTAGAGGATCGCCGTCTGAGACCAGCATTCCTCGTGGAAAGATTACTAAATTTACCGATTCCACTGCTTACATGGCTTGATACACCATTGGAAGAACCATTTCTAGAAGAATTGAGTCTTGTCTTCAATGAATAAGCATCAGTCATGGAGGTGCTGGTAGTTTCCGAACTGATTATAGTATACCCCGAGCGAGGCGTTGACATTAACTGATTGCTCTGACATATATCGGATCTCTTCTCAGGAACATGTTCAACCCCATTAGAGAGACTATAAGATTTTTCTTCATTAGAGGCAGATGAGGAACTTTCCTGCAGATAAAGACCTAGAAAACAATGGCATTAATTATCAGAAAGCCAAAAAGATTAAGAATCAAACGTAACTCCAAAAACTAATAGTTACCTGATAGAATATTGATGGCACTTATAACAAGTTCTGTAAAAGACATAGGAATTGCCATGGGATCCAACTTCCTTTTCATTCCTAGCAAATGGCTCTGTTTAGAAAACATGGATGTGGAGATTTATTACCCCTTTCAATAGTTAACAATAATCCTAAATTCATAATGCAGTATGATTTTTACAAACTAAAAAGGAGAAGAAAAGCGTGAGAGAGATAGACAGACAGACCAACGGACAGAGCGGGAGTAAATCACATTAAAAATACCTGATTCTCTTTACTTAGGAACGTCGCATTTTCCATGATCTTCAAACATTTCAAAAGAAGAACCAGGCTCCGCACCATGTCGATTTCCTTTTCCCAAATAGAATGCGAGCTATCTTTTAGCCAACCCTGCATATTAGTTTCTTGTGCTTAAAAGGGCAATTTCACCAATAACAATTGAGTACCATATAGACCCCAGGTTCCAAATGAAAAACCAAGAAAGTATATAAGGAAATAGTTACATTGTGAGTCGTGACTATGATTCATTACCAACTTATCACAACTGAACATGTATGATGTGCATGTAATAAAGAAATAAAACAAAGTGTGGTGCTATCCACATACCTCTTTTTATGTCCCAAACACTCCTCTCAATTTCCGGCCATTGGATGGAATGAATTGAAGAAGATCAAAGGACAGAATTTAACAGGGTTGGGGTGTGTGGATAGCACCACCATAAACAAATTGTTCAAAAGCAGAAATAAATTCAATAAATTCATGATTGAGAAGTGATATAAATTCAATAAATTCATGATTGAGAAGTGATACTGTTAGCATGCAAAACCACTCATGTTACTCCAAGAAGAAAATCAGGAACTACAATGAACAATAAAGAAGATGATGCTATCAAATAGATAACTGCCCATTTCTTACTATAATGTGTAGTCAGTGTTGCTCATAAACTAAAGAAGCATATGGGTGAAGAAACAGAAGAAACTTGTGAATCTAGATACAAGTAAGGCTGCCCACTATCATTTTGGTTCTTTACCATGGGCATGCATTATTTTTCACAGAATGTAAGTTCTGATATGATGAAACAGACAATGAGATCAAACAAACATACAGGTTCACACCTCCAAATTGGAATGGCAACCCATGGTCACCTCAAATACAGCATCAAGACCTCCAAGCTCTCGTAATTTTTCCTTAAAGTTGCCCCCCGACTTCCTTACAGCCCCGGTGGTTTCTGAAAGTGCAGGCCAATTGGAAACAAAACGATCAGGAATAAATAAGAGGAAAATGAAAAAAAAAAAAATAAGGATGTAAAACAAAAACAAACATGATGGTTACCTACTCATCCCAACCCAGGATTAAGGAAGAATTATTTGAAAATCTATTGCATAGTCATCAGAACTATTTGAACGTTATAACTGTTCCCTCTACATTGTAAATTATAATGCACAGTGGATGTTTTAACACAAATGAAACAGTTCAAGCAACCATGTGATGTTCTACATGGTGCATAATCTCATGCCTAAATTAAACATTAAAATACAATCTTATGAATGCTTGAGATCCTGACTAAATCAAACATAACAATGTGTATCATAACCAGAAAACCATCAGCTTCAACACAGAAACAGACCTTCAAGAGAAATAGTAGATAAGCAAGCTTTCTCAATAGTCAGCAAAGCTATCCATTTTGGGCATAACTCCGGCTTTTCCATTCCTCCATCATCCACACAACTCGGCTTCAAGTCCTTGCAACCTACAAGAATTTCTTGAACTTTGGAAAAGATAGCGGCAGAGCTGGAGTCCAATCTTTTTGTCGTACACTGCGAGATGTCAGCACCGATACGCAATGCTAGAAGCTTACGTCCAATTTTTGGTACTTTATCTTCAGTGGTGTTTGAGACAATTGGTTTGCAAAACCTAATCAAAAAATTAATACAGGTCGGTGATTCCAGAAGATGATCATCCTGACCCTGCACCAGTAAAAGATGACAATCCCTTAGGTTTACTAGTAAGAAAAAAATAAACTTCATTGTATGTACTCTTGAAAAATCAGAGACTCACAGCAGACATGAGCCGTGCACAAGAAAACTTCATGAAAGGTACTTATAATGATAAAAACTTCAAGTTAGAATCATCACTTTTCAAATACTAAATGACTTACATCACTTGTCAAAACATAGAAAATAGTGGCAGCAGCCAGATTGCTAGGTGAATCATCAAAGCTGAGACCCATTATAGCCTCTATTATTGTTTTAGCCATCCTGAAACGAAGGGACTACCGATCAATTTATAACTCATAAAACAACCCATAATAATTTTGATAGAAACAAGGAGTAAGCAAAAACTTGATAAACAACAATATCATAGGCAATCATTACACAGTGTCACAATATTGGGAATAAATGGGCCCCAAAGAAGATGCAAATACACTTGATAATTTGAAATGAAAAATTGGCAGTCAAATCAAGTTTTCTATTGCACTATCATGTAACCTCGGATACATTCAACACAGCTAGGCATCCACATACCAGTAAACAAAATTCGAATAAAAACCATGCATCTCTAACCACAGATCTCCAAAACCTCAAAGCAAAGTTGTAAACTCAAAATGCAATTCCCCACCAAGAACTACTTATAATTCGAAAACCTCACACACCCAAAAATCCATAAGAAAAAAACGAATTCAAACTAACATTTCCAATTCCGCACCAAGAAATTCTTGACATTTCAATAAACCCCATTTCAAAAATCGGATTTTTACATCCAAGAACCAATGAAGAAGTAGTTTAAAGTCAGCCTAACTTACCCCTGAGTCCTGAGAAGCCGCCTCTGCTGCGCCGTCCCACAAATAGACAGCAATGAGAGCAAGCTAGCCCTTCTGATCCGAACCGGCTGACCTTTCCGGAGCCCATCCAAAGCGAAGTTGACCTCGTCCACATGCTCCATCATCTCCCCAAACTCCTGGGCCTCCATCAAAGTCGAAGTCGCAAGAATTGACGGCGGCGGTGGCTGCCTGTAGGAGTTCTTTCCCACCACCTCCTTCCGAGTCTTGGCTTTCTTGGAACCCCCCGCGACGACGCCGTCCAGGGGAAAGCGCTTCAAGGAGTCGACCTTGGTGACGTAGGGATCCGAATCGAAATGGGCCCACCCGGAAGACGAGTCCTCCTGAGACGAGAAATTGAAAGGGTCGCTGCTTTCTTGCGGCTGCGACAGGGAAAATCCGAAGGGGTCGCTGCCGACATCGTCGTCGTCGTGAACGGCGTCGTTTAGCTCTGTGTCGGAATAAGTTCTGGGAATGCCACCTCCCTTGCGACGGCCGTACGTTCTCACGATCATCTTGGTAAACGGCGGCGTTTTGGGTTTGGCTGGGTTCCTTCCTCTGTGTTATGGGATGGGCATTTCTGAACAGAAATGGACAAGGGCTTTTGTTCTGGGGGATTCAAGATTTGAAATTGAAGGGCAAAATTGGAAAATTGGAGGTCTGGAAGACTGGTACTTCAGCTGAAGAAGAAGAAGGAGGTCTTGTGCCAAAATTGAGGAGAGAGAAACTGGGTCGCGGAGGGGAGAGAGAGAGAGAGAGAGAGAGAGATCGGGGTTTTAGGTTTGGCTTTCGATTTGGTTTGGTTTGGTCTTCAAATGCTTGGGCTGCCCTTGTGAAATTCTGTGCCCTTTTCCTCTCCTATGTCCAATCACATTTTTCTTGATTATATCTAACTAAGGGTACTTTCGTCATTTAGGATTTAAATCAAATCATAACAATGGGATAGAAGTGATGATGGCTAAAGAGCAAATCCAGCGTTGGGTTTAGCCCTATGGACAACTAAACCAACCCAATTCCCTCCTAAACTAGCTCCAGCTCATTCAGACGATTGGGCCAAGGGGAAGCATGTGGGAGAGGGCAGACAGGAGTTCAAGGCCCAAGCGTCTGAGGGGGATTGATGTAAAGCTGACGTTAGAATGACCTCAGCCACGTTATAAAAAATTTTGCATCAGGTGCGTGCATAACATGCCCTCGTGAGGGCACATTTTAAGATGTTGGGACCTGCATGTCAGCCCCACTCAGTTACCTTTGAATCAACGGTCCAAGTTTTTAGTCTTTAATAATTAAAAAGAAAAAAAATGGGAAAAAACCAGAAATGTTATGGTGGGCCACATGTCACATTATGGATTGTTGGATTTTAATTTTTTTTTTTTTTGTAATCCAATTGTCCATATTAATTAAGTTAATAAACTTTTTTTTTAAATATTAAAGATCCGAAAATTTTCAAAAAAAATCATTTTCTCCCACTTTACACCTTTCAATATTTTCAACGATTTTAAACAATTAAGAGCATGTTGCCAGACGGAATTGGTTAAAAATCTTATTATAATCTATCTACAAAAATTTTACTTTCGGATAATGACACATGGCTTGACGATATTGGTTAAAAATCCTATTTGAAATTAAAAATTATTTTTTATTATTTTATAAAATAAAAATTGCTAATATTTTATTGCATATTGCCAATGCTATTCAGTTTAAGAGTGGAGATTTAAAAGACAATTATTATTCATTAAAAGCAGTTACTATTCAGTGGAGAGGATACAATTGTCAATTGCCATGGGGGGCCTTTCTACACTGGAAGTGCTCTTATTGAAAATATAATTTAAGATTTTCTTTTTTTTGGTATGAACGTTATTTTATATTAAAAAAAAGTTTGGATTCGATATGTAGTGGATCAAAGATAAATGTTTTAATCACCATAACAATTTGCTACTTACTTTGACAGTATGATTATGTTTTATATGGAGAAAAAAATTCGTAATTACTATAATTATAAATGTCCAACCACGTCACAAGAAAGTGCTTAATTGTGCTTTTCACTTTCTAATTGCTTAGTTTGCTACTTGTTTTTCAAGGGAGGATATAATTCAAAATTCCCTAATTTGCCTCAATCCCCTTCTTCTTCCATAATTGGGATTGGGAATGGAAAGCATTGGAAACTCTAATTTCTTTTTTCGAAGCTTTTTTTTTTTTTTTTTTTTTTTTGTCTTAGCGGATAAATTAGGGAAGCATTGGAAACTCTAATTTCCTTGTAAAATTCAAAAATTACGGAGTTGCTACTTGTTATAGCACTTTGCTTCTAATTATTCAAAATAACCAAGTAATTAGTCTTTAATCCAAATATACAAGACGTGATAGATAATCAACCGACAAATACTTTCCTAGTTGCAAAGCTTAAACCTTTTCAAGACTCGAGATCCTTTTCGGATCTTTATGTCTGGAGTCACCGAACTTGAAATATGAACCACTCAATTTAAATTATGTGGTTCTGATTAACTCATTTTACTAGCCCACTTTACATAAATTAAACTCTTAAACGGTTCAAATCTCTCTTTCTCTCTCTTTAACGGCTCGAATTTTCGAGTCTTACTGTCTCTGGACACAAAAGAGCCGGAAAAAATCTTAATTCCCCTTTTCTGGACATAACCAATGTAGTCATGTCATGTCTTAGAGACGACATCTCCAGCTGAAAGTTGCAAAAGCTTAAACTTTTTTTTTCTTAAATTACAAAAGCTAAAGCTTTTGAGGACATTACCAGAAGCTAATTAAGTTCCTTTTGGTTGCAGGGCATATATTTTCGGAGCCGAAGTCCTTTCAGATAGACCTGGGCCTATGTGCAAGGAAATCAGGCCCAGCCCATATTAACCCACTCCCTAATTTTTTTTTGTTTTGTTTTATTTTATTCTTTATTTTAGTGGGAAGTGCGGGGGAATTGCTTGTTGATGATTACTATAAGGTTTGGGTAATGTTGCCTAACTAATTTAACATTTTATCATTTTTTAAAAGAAATACAATATTCATTAATTTCAACGAATTCGTATAAGAGGATAGAGTATATGAAAAAAAAAAAAAAAAGGTAGAGTAAAAAACTAGGTTCGTTACTCACGAATATACTACATTAGAAGGTACAATCATATCAGGATTTCCTTAGGGATTCAGATCAGATTGAAGAGTTAAATGAGGTAAATGACATATAAAGTCTTGATCATCGGACTACTTTTGTAGACTTATTGTTTCTCAATTTGTATTGTGGTAGTCATAACGTATTTTGAAAGCTCTTTGTACATAACATATGTATGAAATCAAGGTTTCAAGAAATGGAATGAATTGTAGTTCAACAAAATAATTAAACAATCATCTATAAATAGTGAGGGAAACCATCTATGAGAAATTATTCAGTGTGTCAGAAACACAGTCCGGTATACCAAATGTAATAATACAGTTGGTTGAAAACTTTAAAAAAAACTCTAACCAATTGTATTATAACACTTTATGTAATATGTCGTGTTTCTGGTAGAGTAAAAATTTTATCTTTCTAGTAGGTGGGGGTGGGTTGAGATTAGGTGGGCCATAATACGTTCATGTTTGCTTTGATTGCAAAATATCAGTATGTATACGTATTTTTTTCAACCAAAATTAGTAAATTTCAAGGCTCAAAGTATTCCAATTGGATGCCCAACAAAACCAAAATTAGTAAACTTGCAACTCTATTAAACGTTTTGTGTGCAGTAACTTTATGAAATGTTTCGAGTGTAGTAAATACGCACATATAGAAAAAGAAATTATAACAGGATTATCTCAAAATTAAAATTCTTTATGAACTTTCAGTTACATTACCATTTAACGTCAAATATGTCAAGTGGTATATATAGAAATGAAAGTTGTAATAAGAAATCAAACAATATATTTCATGAAAGTTGGCAGACAGAACAAGGGCAAAGTGTAATATTTCACCCGACAAGTCAAAATTTGAGAATCTTAAAACCACAGTCATACATAATGTCAACCAACATCCATCTGCCACAAATTACGACTCAAACTCTAACCTGTCACCCATAACTTTCCATATTGCTTATTCGCCCCAGCTTTATGAACTCACGTTTCACCTGAGCCCCTGCTTTTAAATACCGTCACACTTACTTTAACTTTGTGTAATAGTTTAACATTCTATTTGAACGAGGAAATTTAAGATTCTTATGAAATTCTAAAATAACGGAAATTGAAATAGGGAATTTTATTTTCTAGAATTTCTGAATTTTCTTGTTTGGGAGAAATGACACATATTTACATGAAATTTAAATTTGGAAATTGGAGGTTCCAAATTCCAAAAGCCTTTTTTTTTTTTTTTTGCTGGATTCTAATTCTTATGTTTATGAATCCAAACAAGGAGATTGGTGCATATCAATTTATAAATTCTAACTTTTGTCAAAATTCTAAGTTTATTTCCCTCATCCAAACATAGTGTACGCGTATGAGAAAATTTATGACATTTTACTTAAAACGACTATCGACATTATTTTGATCTACGACTTGTTCTGTTTTTATTAAGGCACGATTATCATAATTTTTTTTTAATTCTAGTTCCTATGTGTTTACTAACTTACATTGATTAAAATTGCGCCGCTGTCACAATTATATTAAGAATTTAAAACTTAAACAACTTGAAATTAGATTGATCACGGAAAAAGTGAATCTATCTCGTTCATTCTCTTTTTTCTGTTTATGACTTTCTTGATTCATGAATATTTTCTTTCAAAGTAGGCAAGCGTGTTAATAATTATACTATAAAATTTCACTTGAATCCAATTTGATATCTATTTTTGTAGATTAAAAGTAGTTTAAACATCGTACTACAAAAGCTTGAGAAATTACAAATTATAGCAGAATTGGAAATTTATAAAAATAGCATGAAAGAAGTATAAATTAGGAAAATGGCCCAAGAGTCGAGGTGTCGTTTTAGTATTATATTGATACTAAAGTCTTGTTTTATAAATATTATTATTATCTGCGTTGTGAGTTGCAGTGCTAATTTGACCTTTTGCTATCTGGATCTAGGGTTTCTCCTCTCGAAGACTCCTTCGTTCTTCATCGTCACCACCAAACCCTAGCTTTTAGAACCACAATTCAGAACAAAAATCCAATTCCATTTCGTAAATCAATCAAGGATCTAAGATCTTCACTCGAAAATAAAACCCTAATTTTTATTCTTTTTACTTTTTTTTTTCTATGAATTTCAGTGATTTAAAACCAAAATTGGGATTCTTTTGGAGATGACGACGATTTTGAAAGAAATCAACGAAATCGATGTTTTTATTGAATGAAACTTTGATGAGAGATCAAAGGAGGGAATAAAATTTCTGGGTTCTTCTTGGATGGTGTTTGGGCAGTGAGAAAATTGGTGTTTGGCAAGTGAGAAAATGTATAAGTCGGTGTATAAAGGTGAAGATTTACTTGGGGAAGTAGAGATATATCCAACAGAGAACGAGAACAAGAATGTTCAGGATGAGTTGAAGGAAATCAGAATAAGCTATTTTTCTCAACCAAGTGAAAGATGTCCACCAGTGGCAGTGCTTCATACCATAAGCTCCTCCAATGGAGTTTGCTTCAAAATGATGGAGTCAAAGACGTCGACGTCTCCGGACACGCCGCTCTTTCTTTTGCACTCCTCCATGACTCAGGAGAACAAGGTATAGCAGCACAACCATTGAATTAAACTCCCACCTCCAAGAAAATATCAACTCTGAAAAAAATATAAGATAAAAATTGAAAACCCAGATTCTAAAAAACCCTTTTTAACTTTATAATGT